GTTTTTGTAATATTTGTTTTTTTTTTATATTACTCAAATATGAGTACTGTGCAATTACCCATATTTAGGTAAAGTTACTTTACTCATAATGTGAGTGAATTCTACTGATTTTTATCAGTATCATTCACCCATATGATGAATCAACTACCTATTTATGGGTGAACTGTAAGCGTGTAGAGTAATACCATTGGCATTGACGGCGACTCTGTAGCTCTTTACTCCAATGTTAAAATCCATAACCAAACGTCAGACTGTGTGTGAAACATGGCGGACTTCGTACTATCCTTTCATTCCACGGAAAATTCTTATAAGAAACTGTCAATCTTTGGTAAAAGAGACGATTTTTCGGCGGTGTCGTCAACGCCAATTTCAGCGGTGAAGGACGTGAAGGACAATCCCTTTGTTAACGTTGCACGGCGAATGAGAACGACTCAAATTTGAGTTTAGTTCACTCAAAATCGCCAAAAGTGCAGGAACTCCGCGATGAGTTAATTTTCCTCATGTTTTTCCAGGATGTACCAGGGAAAAATTCCTGAATTTGAGAAAAGTAAAGATTGGATTCACTCAGTCTATTGGTAGTACCAATAGACTGAGTGAATCCAATCTTTACTTTTCTCAAATTCAGGATTTATTCACTGGAAAATCCTGGAAAACCTGGAAAAACATGAGGAAAATTAACTCATCGCTGAGTTCCTGCACATTTGGCGATTATGAATGAACTAAACTCATATTTGAGTCGTTCTCATTCGCCGTGTGTGTGGTGACATTTACTATTTGCGAGTGGGTACGTGAAATTAAAATTATCTGTCAACATGCCCGGGACTTGGAGGACACTAAAATAGAAAGTTTATCTTTCGACCGTTTCATCTTAGTATTCTTCTTTGGCGTGCCAATGCTGCTGCCAAAGATCACGTTGGAGATGTCGAAAGAGCTTCATTTGTGTTGGCGAAGTTCGGGGAACGTCTTAAAAGTTCATAGATCTTTGTGGAACTTCAAGTAAATTCGTGGAAGCTCAGACAATTTCGATAAAGTTCAGGAAACTTTCTTGAAGTGCAGTAAATTCTGAAGAAGTTCTACATTGTTTGTAGAAGTTTATTGAACTTTGTTGAGTTATATGTATTCAGCATTTAGTGAACTTCATAGAAGTTCGTTGAATTTTGTAAAAGCTCTTTGTGATGAGCATAGAACATTAAGTTGAGAGCACATCCACAGTTAATAATTGAAAGCTTTCTAAGCCCGTACCATTTTTGCATTAGTATTATTGTGTGGCAATTATAAAATTTATTTATTTATTTATTTGTTTATTTATTTATTCTCTAAGAAAACCTCGCCCTTTCCAGTCGGATCGAATAAGTTTTATCAAAATTCTCTTTCCTACTTATTACCATGAATCTTAAAGCGCATTTGTTTATTATTCAGTTCCAACCTAGATCGGGTATCAAGATTGGGTTTGCTTGTTTACTGACAAACGTCAGTTTGATCGGTTGTTTTTTAAAACCTACCCTCAGGTTGAGAATCGCACTGAAAAAAAGTTTGGTTTCGCACTGCGTTGGAACTGGTTCCAACCCCGATAATAAACGAATTCGCTATTAGATACCTGCAAACTGAATCAGCTGTGCGTCTACATGTGGTATGAATGAAGAAGGAAATAATTTAATTTCTGTGGCAAAGCACTGACACTGACAGAGAGCACGACACAAAGGATGAACACTGTTTCAAGACGAGGGTAACTGAGAATGAGTCTGCGGAATTTAATTTGCAGAGCTTACTTTGCTTTCAATTTTCCCCTGAGACAGAGGCAAGAAGTGCGAAGGAAAATGTAAACGAATTACAAATCCGATTTTCTCAATGAAAAGTTGGTAGCCAAGGGGCTTTTTGTTACAGAGAATTTCGCTGTCGGTAGCGTTTTGAACTAGAAGAGAAGGGAAATAAAACTATTGGCGTTTTTCTCGACAGAGGTCGTGTTGTTTTGTTTGAAGGATTGCAGTCAGTAATTCATAGTGTTTAAGCTATTTGCCAATGGGAAAAATTTCAGGTGCGGCCATGATGGGAATTGAAAAAGATATTGCGCTAGGTAGGGGAAATGGCTCTAATGTTGACCTATGGATCTATGTTTGGGCCCATTGCTAAAGAGATGCTATTTATCTGTTTTATATAGATGAATGCGTCATTGGGACGGTACTAATGGATATTTTTGGTCACTATTGAAAATTTAGTCGATTGCTGAATTTATGTGTGGACCCAAATAAGGAACATGTAGGCCGACATAACATCCATTTCCTCTACTTACTGACTTTGCATAATGTATTTTTTTGGATCTTCACTACCTTTACACGACCATTGAAAACTAGCCAAAAATGATTGACATCTAATCATTTTTTGAAATTGTTGTAGCTTGTATTTTTCGAAAAGTGGAAAGGGACTGAAGGCTGACTATAGCGAGCTGGATTAAACGAAAAATTTAATCCCAACTTAACCCAGGGGAAGTGTGGATAATAACCAATGCTGCGTTCTGTCAACAATGTCAATTGGCGTAAGATATTGGTCTAGCACTGAATTTCATTTCCGACACTGATATTCGCAGTAGGCATGCTATCAGGCGGTACGGCTTTGATATTAGTATCGATATGAATATCACTAGGGAAAAGTTGAAAACCTTACTTTTATCTCAATAAATCAACTTGTTTGTATAACCGTTGCATTGTTTTAACATTACTGGTGAGTTGTCTAAATATCGGAACTCAATTAGCTGGCGTATATAAAAAAAACATTTAAGTTGGAGCTTTCGAATATCAGTGGTGAAATTCAGCATTTTGTTGGTTTTGATATTGTCATTTTGCAGCACTGATAAAAACTCGCATGGACAAACATCAGCAGTTGACTACAATATCCAATCCGATACTCAATTACCTATTAAAAGTTTTAAACTTCTGTGCGATTATACTCTCCCAGTCGGCCACTGGCTAATTGAATACTTAGTCAGTACTTACGTGGAGCAAACTCCGTGTAATAGCCAGATATTGAATTTTGGTCCAAGCAAAACTTCGCTCGCTACGGCAGCAGGCTTTGGAATATCTAAAAGTTGTTCTTCCTCCCGCCTACCGCCAGAGGACCTGTTTAATACGGGAAAAAAACTTCTCCTCTTCGAAGGGAAATCATCGTTGGTTGAGCGGATTGGTCAGGAACCAAATTGGACGCTCCATGGCATCAACCGAAGGATTTTGCTCTCTTTGGGACTAGTCCACAACACGGGTTCTAATCAAACAACAGCTTTACTGGCAAATCCAATTAAAAGTATGAGCTCATCTCGATTCCGGTGCTTTTCTCGGCTGGTAGGGGCAAGATACCGATTTTCTTCAGTTAGTTTGAAAACTGTTTACCGTGTTGTCTCGGTGACTAGCCGCAGTTGTGCTCGTCCGATGGAATTTTTAATCTGGCTGTAAATACATTTTTATTTCAAGGCGTGAATGATTTATGCTATTATGTTTCCTTTTCAGGCGTTTATATCCTAGGGCACGACACCTTGGCTGAATATATCAAAATATTGTTTGCTATTTTTAAACCAGAAAAAAAGATAATTCTAATAATTTTTAATAATAAATTCATTTGCATTGAGTTTTACGACCATGTGTGTTTTTACTGGGATGTCAAAAGTTCAAAAATTGTCTTGCCCCTTGTCTATATCTCACGGTAAATGACAGCGCAAAAAAAGAGCAAACCGAAAATATTCGGCCGGTCACATAGAGGCGACCCTCAGCGCTTGCTTTCACTCGTTCGGAGACCCAGCCCAGTGAAAAAATCCGTTACCAGCTGAGCAGAACGAGCTATGGAGCCGGTGATGTTCACTTCCGTTTTTACAATTCATTGGTCAGTTAATAAAATTAAATGGCAAAAAATAAAGTTAAGTCCTTGTAAAACCATTAGGCAATTGGCCACAGGTGGCTGGTGGCAGAGTGGAATGGAAACGACTTCTTCGTACAGCACTGCTCACGTTACATTTTATGAGGGATCTGTAGATCATGACAGTTTTGGACCACTTGCAGCTTCTTCTTGTGGGTCTCAGCACACGTACCCCACACCGGCATAGCATAATTGACTACCGGAGCGATAATCACATTGTATACCGCCAATTTGTTCCGTTGCGACAGCCGGGACCGTCGGGATATCAACGGGATTTCAGTAGCCCAATACACCAGTTTTTAAGCTTGTCGGTGTGGGCACGACAGAGTCGCTTGTCGTCGATGGTAACACCAAGGTAGTTGACTTCATTTGACCAGTCAAGGGGGCTGCTGTTCACTTGGATTAAGCAGTCCGCTGAAGGTAGCTGCTTAGGTGATGGTCGATGTCGGAAGAGGATGACTTGACTCTTGGTTTCATTCACTTTGATTTTCCAGCTGGTCAGGTACGAGACGTACGTCCGACCGTTGGCCATGATGGCACTGTCATCTGCGTACAGCGCCAGGCTGCAGCCAGCAGGGAGTTGTGGAACGTCGGAGATGTAAATGTAATATAGGATGGGGCCGATGAGGCTGCCTTGAGGCACACGGGTACCCGCTGGAACCTCGTGGAGTTCTGAAGTGGCACCTGAAAGATGTACTCGAAACGTTCGATTTTTCAAATAGTTTCTTACCATTCCCGTGAGGTATTTTGGGAAGTTCGCCTGCACCATCTTATGGACAAGTCCATTAGGCCACACGTTGTCGAAGGCCTTTTCCACATCCAGGAGTACCATGGCTGTGTTGTTAGAGAGTGACTTGTTCCGTTGAATGGTGTTCTTCACTCGGACTAGTTGATGGACGGTAGAATGCTCCTTCCGAAAACCGAATTGCTCCTTTTTCTCCTCGAAGCCATGGAGGACCTTCCCACCACAGTCTACGCTGTATCAAGTCCGCAGCTAGAAGACCTCTCGAGATGATGTCCGCAGAATTTTCTCGTCCTACTACTTGGTTCCATTCGCAGTTCTCCGTCTTCTGCTGGATTTTGGATACCCGGTTTCCGACTTACGTGGACCAGGTGAATGGTGTAGCCTTGAGCCAGCTCAAAACGGTGGTTGAATCTACCCAGAAATACCCCTTGGATGTGATTCGCAGCGCTTCGGAAACCTTCTGGTAGAGCTCAGCAGACAGAAGTGCGCCACAAAGCTCTAGGCGTGGAGTGCTTTGCTGTTTGAGTGGAGACACCTTCGAGCGAGACATTAATAGAGCGACCTTGACTTCACCTGACCCATTCGACGATCTGATGTAGGCACACGATCCATATGCAGCTAAAGAGGCGTCCGAGAAGAAGTGCAGCTCCACAGAAGTAGCATTTAGGAGTATGACGAATCGATCAATTTGCAGAGCGTGCAGGCGGGGAAGTTCGGTGTAGTATTCGACCCAACGTTTCTTCATCTGCTCCGGAAGTTCCTTGTCCTACTTGTACTGCTTTCCACTGTCATCTTTCAGTGGGTCAAACAGTTTGGCGATGCAGGAAAGTGCGCTTCGTTTCGTGACGACTGTTGAGGACTTGGTTGTCGCTTCAGGAACGACGTATTTCAACTGGTCAGAACAGGGTTCCCAGTGTAGATCCAGTGTCTTGATGGCCTGATCCTTGCCGAAATCCATCGAAGGCTGCAAGGCACGGTTGTTTTCCGGAACTCCTTCTAGAACTGCAGGGTAATTGCTCGCCCATTTTCGTAGCTGCATTCCAGCTGAGTAGAACATGGCATTCATTTGCTACCGTAGTTCGATTGCTTCGGTGACAGTCTGTGCGCCCGAAAAGAAATCGTCGGCATAAAAATCCTCACAGATTGCTTCTCTCCTTCTCATCCTCCGCTAGCTTCTTCAACACTCGAGTGGCTAGGTACGGTGCTGAAGCGGTATCGTCCATCCGCAGCAACGAGTAGTTTCACTGAAGAATTTCTCGCAGTAGGCTTCGGATTCAGAGTGGACGACCGTTGAATCGTCCTCGATGGCCCAAAATCGCAGACTACGGAAGATCTTGAATGTTGTTCAGGAATTTTGCCACTGATAATCCAACCGAAAACCGAATTAACCAGACACAGAATAGATTCGCCCAATGTGATTCGACCAGCAACATAGAAGAGATCGCAGAACACCTCGGCCCCTAACACAACATCAATGACTCCGAACTGATAGAATGACGGATCAGCTAACTGGAATCCTGTCGGGAGCGCCCAACTCGACGCGTCGACGGAGATTGAAGGCAGATCTACGGTGACCTTGGGAAGAACGAAGGCGTCGATGGTGGTGGAAAACTTGGAAATCCGAGACTTCACTATCGAGCGAAACATGCAGCGGACTTCGGTAGACGCTTGACCAATCCCTGCGATCGGAAGATTCACCTTATGTCGCCGAACCTTCATGTGCCTGAATCCAACAAAGCTTGCACGGGATGCTCGTTGCCACTATCGTCCACCATGATGATGATCGCTGTGGCTAATAGTACCCTGCTCTTGGTTCCGTCTTGCGTTGTACAACTCGAAATGCCAGTATGCGCTGCTGGCGTGGCTGACATCGGTCCGCTACTACTGCCCGCCCGGCCGGAAGCACTAGATTGGTCCGATTAGTTGATCGTAGCTGATTGACTACTGCCTGTAGATCTTGACGCGAAACACAGCTGTGTATGATGCCGTCCTCGGCACTTGCGGCAGCTGCTCTCCGATGAACATTCTTTCGCCATGTGACCCCGACGCAGACAGTTTCGGCAGAGTTGATTGCGTCGAACTACTTGCTCCTTCTCGTCAACAGCCATATTTGCAAATTCGCTGCTGTATAGCCCCGTGATTTCCTGAACGTGGAGGGTTGGGCTTCATGATGTTAGCTGGAGTTTCCGAGGGCTTGTTGGCAACCGTCTCCAACACGTTGACTCGACGTTGAAGAAACTCGACTAATTGCTGGACTTTCGCTGCATCGTTTGCCTCCGCGTATTCTTCCCAATCACGCCTCGTTACTGAATCCAATCGCGTACTGAGCAGATGTATCAGTAGGACGTTCCAATGCTCGGTATTTTCCCCCAGTTGTTTGGGGATCTTAACATTAGTTTGGAATTTGTCAATCAACAAATGTAATTCGACTGCCGTTTCACGTTTCATACAGGGAAATTCAAACAAGGGCTGCACGTACGTCCGTTTCAAACGCCGAGGGTTTTGGTAGTGACTCAGCAGCAAGTTCCACGCAACGGAGTACTGTTTGTTGCGAATCGGAATCGTTTGAATTAGTTTAAGTGCTTCACCAGCCAAAGAGGAGCGTAAATAGTAAATTTTTTGGATAGTGGACAAATTCGCCGAAAAGTGTACAAGCGAAACGAACAAATCGTGAAAATTCATCCAGTGTTCGTAATTGCCTCCAAACACTGGCAGTTTAATGTCTAGCAATTTAAGGTGTGACACATTGCTCGTGTTATCAATGGGTCGGGCAGTAGTAGGTTGGGGTTCATTCTGGTTTAACAAAAGTAGCGTACCTTTAAGTCGATAATAGGCTCGTTCGAATTCCGTGCGCTCCTTCAAGTATGCGTCCAAGACTTCATCGGCTTCTTCCAGCGTCTCCAACTCCGCCTGAACTGCATTGAATTCCGTCCACAGCGCGATTACGTTTTCCAAAGGAGCAGGCACCTCGCTCTTGTCCTTGTCCACTTGGTATCTAGATACGAAGGCTTTAATCGAAGCAAACGACACGTGAAGATACTGCGTTTGCGGTTCTTTAGACCACGGAGCTTCCGCTCGGCCTTCGACATACCGATGAGCGATGGTAGGATCTACGAACAATACACCGGATAGACCGCGCTTGATTGTATAAAAGGATTGGAATCTTAATCACCTGGTTACAGGCAGAAATGCCTTGTATTTTTTAATCCAAATCGCCTCCTCTCTCGGGTTGAATGTTGCAAATCGAGTTGACGGAATTCCAGTCGTTCAGTGGGATGAATGTATATCTGCAATGGCTGCTTCTGTTGATCATCCACCGGTCTTGAAGAGGTGAACTGATCCCGGGATTGTCAACCAACCCAATGGCAAAATTGAGTGCGCCCTCGTGGCCGTAGTTGGCTCTCAGCGGTCCGTTCTAAAGCAACACGGTCTAAAGCAAGAGGCCCATTGGCACGACCGCCATGTAAGCTTCCCAGGATAGCACGTATCTCGTATTGGCCGGGCGGATCCCTATCGACGCCCAAATCCGGCTCGAAGGACCATGACGTGGTGTTCCTCGACGTGTTCCATCAGATACTGGAGAATAAGCCGTTTGAATATTTTGCTGACTGCTGATAGCAGCGTGATGGATCTGTAGCTTGACCCCCATTCGATCCCTAATCAGGCAGTTGAGGAGAGAGACTTGTTGTTTTTTCAGGAGGCATCTGGTTTGCTGGAATATTCGCCTGACTGTGATTCGTTGCTAGATAAGCTGCCGGGTGTAGGCATCAATCATGGTGAATTGTCGCCTCACCGGTACCCAGCGGATGCTAGCTTCTTCTGCAGTGTGCACGATTTCCTCGAATACTTCCAGTTTGTTGTCGATGGCTTCGATGGATGGCAGATCCATATTTTCGGGAAGTTGTGAGTCCACCAGGCGTCTGAAAACCACCTGAAATCTCGTCTCATCGTCACCGGCGCTGTTGTTGGGTTGAAATTTATTTTACACTCTACCGGGTAGTGGTCAGAGCTCAGTCACGTAGGTGACTGGTTTCGAGAGTGCCAGGTCAGACAGGAACACGTCGAGGGTGGATGTTATTCCAACTGGGGAGAGGAACGTTGGTTCATCCGGAAAGTGGATGGTACACGTACCTCAGCTGAAGTGGTCGGCCAGTTTTTGTTGCAGTTGTGATTTCGCCACAGGGTATGGCGCGCGTTGAGGTCACCGGCCACCACAAAGCCGGTTCTGTTGTTGGTGAACTTTTGGAGATCTTTCGCGAAGAGTTTGGATGTGCCATTACTGTCTACACACTGCCGAGGTATGTAGTCGGCAAACAGCGTGATGTGACCATGAAGAGCATGTATTTTAACGCCAATTGCTTCAATGATGCTTGTTTTCGGATGTGGTTGGATTTCATAGCGAATGCCGTGCTTGATGATGACAGCCACACCGCCACCACTTGAGTTGGGGCGATCTAGCCGGATAATGGAGTGAGAAATTTGTTGCTGGGTTAAGCCGGGTTTCGGTGATAACTCCCACGTCGATGCTTTGTTGGGCAAGGAAGTTGCTCGACTCAATCTTTTTTGCCCTTACAGAGCGAGCGTTCCAATTGACAATTCGGATACTGTGGGGCTCAGTTGACCCCATATTGGCAGACCATGTATCCTAGGACCTTGACCTGGTCCGAACGGGTCTTGCACTGCTTCAAACGATTGCAGAACTCGGTTAAGCTGGACCACAGAACTGTAGAGCACCTCTTCGTTTTCTTCGGGGATGAACTCGCTGATGGAACATTTATACCCGCTCTGGTGCGAGGATCGATACTACGTTCATGATTATGTTGGTTGATCCCGGCGTTGACTGCGGACTGTGAGCCCACAAAATTTGATGTTCGGCCGGGTACCGAGCTAGTCAGTGCAGGTGCAGTTGAACCCTTTCTGACTTCCTTCAGACCCGGCTGAATCGAGGTTGTTGCTTGTTGTCAAATCCGAATGTATTCGGCACGCTTGGGGCAGCTCTGTCGCCGGATGAGCGCCGTCGCAGTTGGCACATCGTTTCGCTGGTGCACTTCTCGGTAGCGTGGGTTTCGCCACAATTGTTACATCTGCTCTTCAGGTGGCAGTTTCGGGTTCCGTGGCCGTGATAAAGGCAGTTCATGCACTGCGTTACGTCGGCTCGCTTGTTGCGGTAGGCTTCCCATCGTACGATGATGTGCGCAACGTGCTTCACGTCTCTCAGCTTCTTGAGGTTGATGTATCCCTTGGCAAAGGGCACCAAGTAGAACGATTCATCGAGGTTTGCACAGTCCCCCTTCCTTTTGAAGGTGTGAGCCGCTTGGCCGATGAGGTTGTGTTCCTTCTTCAAACGTTCCAGGAGCTCTTTTGGGTCAACCAGCGGAAGACCACGAAGCACAACCCGGTAGGGTCGTTCATTTGGATTGTCGGGGTGGTTTTGTAGCTGGTTGAAATCCTCTGCAGAGGTGCAGTTGAATTTGGTACCAAATCGGGTGATTTCGTACGTCGGCGTGACGTTGCACGAACGCATTTTTTCGACGAGGGTTGCGAAATCGATGTTCTTAACCACCAGGGGTGGTTGCTTTCCTTTTGCGGGGGCATTTTCCGAAGTTGAAACCACCGGGGTCGGCTGACTTTTGGTGGTCTGGGATTGATGCTCCAGCGTGATGAATGAGCTGTTATTCAACAACTGCTGCTGCAACTTGTCTTTGTCTACGACAGTTTGCATTTCGGTTTTCTTCCGCTTGGGGT